CGTTCCTTGCGTTTGTTGGACGGATAGTGAGGGTCTTTTTTTCCTTTTTATGCTCTTGTTGGAACTTTCTTGTTCAATTTTAATTGTATATAATTAAAATTTATCATTTTAATCGCGTTTTCTTCCTCATTAATTTTATTAAGTGTGTCTTTATTTGCATTCCCAATTTCAAACGTATACCTTTGAAAATGTGCTGGCCGAAATGTAACTAAGGTATGTTATGACGTCTGTATTGTTTAAATCTACGTTTCATTTCTGTGGGTACAAATCAATTTTATATATATATATATATATATATATATATATATATATATATATATATAACGTTAAATGAAAATAGCAAAAATATTTACATAAACAACCTTAATATCCACTGTTGGAGAACGACCGAACGACAATGTATATCGGGTAACCTTTAGCAATCTTCTTTATTATTTACTTTATTTACATTATTCGGACTATTATCCCCATCTTCATTGCCATATCCACAAAGTTCCGGCACTGAAGATGAGAATAACAGTCTGAATAATGTAAATAGTATAAGTAACCATAATACCTCATCTCAGAAATATAGACAGAGCTCCTTTATTTGTCCGAAACGAAGCTTTTTCGCTTGCTGATGATGTTACGTCTGCACAGCTTGCTTCTTTGAACGTCGAACGCGACAAAAAAATTTACGATTCCATAAGTCATCACACGTGATCGCTTTTGCAGATCAATAGCTAATGTCGATGATTGTCGTCCCTCGTGCTAACGTTGGTATTTACCTGATCAGGATGTATTCTCTCTGTTGATGGGCGAGAAGATCGCCTTTCGACCGTTATACGTGTTATTCCCGCTTTAAAGCGTTTTATACACTCATAAAACTTTCGTTGGTTCAGGCTGCATGCACCATCGTTTGCCAACACCAGACAATGGAATTCTGCCTGTTTAAATCACTCTGGACACAAAATGTACACTACGGCGCGTTATTCCTGGACGGTGAAATCGATGTGTGGAGCGTCCATACGTCAGACCTTGTCTTTTCCTTTCAGCCTATTGAACAATGGATGCTGTGCGGGGCAAGTTACCCGCCATTACAATTGCGCGCGTTGTGTTCCGCGTCAGTGTCTCTCCATTACATTTACTCCGTTTTTAAAAAAAATTCTTAATTATTATTTACCCTCGTGTGTGTGTTTGTGTATGTTTGCACACACACACACACACACACACACACACACACACACACACACCTAAATATATATAGTTTTAATGTATGCTATATTTATGGGTTACATTGAGCAATACCAGAGCGTATAAAAATTATATATAACTATTGCTGAACCAAGAAAATGTTACTAAAAATCACAACAGAACAACAATAAACAAACCACCTGAACAAATTGAACTCAAGTGTAACTACAGAATAAATAACGAATGACCCTTTAGAAGGCAATTGCTTACAACACAATGTAATATTCAAGCCACTGTAAAAATTTGCAGATAATGAAGGAAAAATATACATATGTGTTACTGAGGGTGTGCATTTCAGCCCAACAGCCTCCCATGTCACGGTGTCTCTCCAAAGGGAAATCCGTTCATCGTGATTGGTGTCAATTGAGAAGGAAAAAAAGAAAAGAAAAAAATAATATTAAAATCAAATTTCAATATAAAATCTTAAAAAATAGGGGGGAAGATAGGGGAGTGGGGAGAGAAAAAGAGAGTGAGAGCGGGAGGGAAAAGACGAAAGGAAATAAGGAAGAATTAAACATTTGCTGATAGGGTGACGAAGAAACGATTTTTTATAGGACTGTTTAAAGAGTAAGGAGTGGGTGATAAAAATAATTTCGGGTTAATGAGATGAATATTTGTATATTCATTAAATAAATTCTAACTGAACAGAGATTTAAGGATCGTCTATACTCATTATTATATTGCTTTATTACTTATTGAGCTCTTTTGGGATTGATATCCTCCTTGAATTATCAATTGATATATATATATATATATATATATATATATATATATATATATATATATATATATATATGCAGGTATGCAGAAAATAGAAAAGAACACGCAGGGTGCATAATCCGGAGTCCTTAGTATTTTTTTTTTATTTTTAAGAAGACAGTGCTCCATACAGAAGTAGAGCTTATATTATAATTATTATTTGGATGGTTTCGGCTCTCGTTTTTGAAACATGAGAACTCTTATGTAGCGAAAGAATCATATTTTTAAATAAAAAATATTATAATATATATATATATATATATATATATATATATTACAGCAAAAAGATATCTCAACATAGAAGGCAGTCTATTTCAAGCAATGTACGGTCTTGAAATAGACTACCTCTATGGTGAGGTAATTTTTGGGGGGGTTTTGTTTTGTTTTGTTTTTTTGTTATTTCTTTTGTTTTGTTTTCTGTGGATCAGTTTTAATAACTAATATTAGGATGATGCTCACGCATTATATACCAACGGATCGATTACTCTACTATATATATATATATATATATATATATATATATATATATATATATATATATATAAACGTAGCGCCTTGTCTGTTCAAAATTCAGTCCTTTGGTGGTGAAATTGAGAGGACTACGTGCTCCACTCTCGGTTTTACCGGCAGGATCCCAGAAATATTGTTCACTAGTATTCACTGCCATATATATACGAGGACCTCGATTACATAATTATCCTGTATAATTTGTCTTTGTTTCTTACGTAATTTTCTTTTTTCTTTATACTTTGCTTAGCTTTTCAAATGCATATTTAGCTGTCTCAACGCGCTTTCTGATTCCAGATTTTTTGCGCTGATAAAAAAAGAAATGTTTCTTGCATATTGGATGTTTAACATTTCTCAGCTCAACAATTGATCTACTGACTGATTCATTTAACGGCATATGTATTTAGAGATTTTTGATGAAATCAAAATAAGTATCTGTACTGGTTTTGGAGCTTAGCTTGTATCACGTCCGCGTTTGCTACAAATAATTTCATGGTAATTATTCTGATGCACCCTTCAATTATGATAGTTAGAATTTTTGAATTTTAGCCCATTGGTAGATTAGGGACAACGTCAGATCATTTTACAGATGAAATGGCTAGATGTAACCGTAAGTTCTATGGTAACAGTTCCTCTCTCAAACTTCTTCCTTGTGGAACTCTCTTCCTGATTCTTGTTTCCCAGTTAACTTTGATCTTCAGAAATGTATATGCAATGTCAATTGGTATATTCTGTCTTCTTAGTTTCTGATCTTTTATTTTTATCTATCCTTAATGGTGTCTCATTTTTCTCATATTCTCTCACACAAAGTAACCCCTTGCATCTTTGTGTCTTTATTGTCTTCCGTGGGGTTAAATGCTTTAAAAAATATATATTACCCGCTTATCAATTATTTAATTCCCAACACTGATTTCCTTGCAAATTCTTAATTACAAACATAACTACCCATATAGCACTACCATGGACGTATTCCGAACAGTTTTAACTACCAAATTTCATTTACAACGCATGCGCACACCGTTGGCAAGATTTACAGGCGCTTCCCACTGGTTTCACCAGCTGGACTCATCTATTAGCCTCACTGAAAAAACGTGTTTTGAAACCTGACCTGATAAACATTCATATTTAACATTATTTTTTGAACAGATAACGATTTTTTTCTTTATTTAGAATCTCGGAATAAAACCGATTTGCTTGGCTATTGATTTCTTCATGTACGTGACCTCGTTTTCGGGTTGTTGGCGCTCTGTAAGTTCTTATCATCTTTTGTAGTTCTAAGCAAATTCTGATCATGTCCAACTCCCTTCCTCTTTGTTCTGTCAGCCATTCACTCAAAACATTTTAACTAAGTTACTAACTGTTCTCCTCCATCCCACTTTCATTCAAGACGTTCGTTATATCTTTAACATTGTAAGGTTTCTCTTGCCTTCAGTATATCCTCTAAGTGTTAAATTTCCAAGGCTTTCTTTTCATCATATCAACACAAAATCTCTCTGAGTATTAGTCACATTTCATTTTTAATTCTTTTTCACACTAAGACTCTTACGTTACTGCTTTTCTTTGGCAATAGTTTTCTACGTATTCATCATTAGAACCACTTTGCTTCAGGTCTCTTCTGTATCTGTAGAAAATTTCTAACATTCACTCCCATAGAGAGTATTTGATGTTACGCTTAAGTTGAACAATGTTATCTTCATTTCTAAGAAAATTATCCGATCTTTTTATACTTTGTTCAGTTTATAAAAATTGTTCGCTATTTTTTTACAATTATGTTCAAACTGCATCTCACTCGAGGTGATGGATTACATAGTGAGAGGCTCATTTTATGGGGATATAGAAAAGGTAACGTTTGATTTTAGACATGAAAAGGATAAGATTGTAATGGTTAGAGAAGCATACACTTGGGAGTCGGTTTCATAAGACAGCAGATTATCGGAAGAAGCTGCTCAAGTGAATCGTACATCTCAATAATGGAATACGCACTGGATAAAGACGGTTCGCTAAATTGTTGGTGTGATGGCGATTCTTAGCCCTGTAAGTTAGAACGAATAGAACTAAGGAATATAGTTCGTTAGAACAATTTCCCTGGAAATAGTGATAGAGCGGAGAGATTCTTGCGACGTTTAATCTGTGAACAAAGGATTTCAGCATAGAAAATAATTCTTCAGCCACAAAGACGCGGAGACTCTTTTGGAATCTGTCGTGGCTGGGAAGTGAAGACAGTTCAGCTTTGCTAATAGCTGACAGCAGCATTCCATTTTGAACTGACTTGGCTCTTATAAAGGTAGAGGATATTAAGATGGGTCAGGCATTAACTGGAGAGAGTTACAATAAACTGTCTACCTTCTGAGCAGTTTTTAGCGATGGCTCATATATACAAGTTCCACTTGAGGCCTGGGTCGAATTTAAGTTCCCATATGATCCCAACGCACGAGGCCTCACTCAGGTAACATTCGATCACCGTGAACGCTTGGTCTGCAAGATCATGAAGAAATGTCACTATGACGCGACTTAGTATTGCTGCGTCCGCATCCCTTCATCTACTACGCTACTTCACGGTAAAAACCGCGCAGCTGCTTATTTTTAGGATTATATGCTGAAAATCTTGGCAGACGATGGCCTTCCAGCCATGAGATCGTGACCAGTTTGCAGACGTTAGGTCAAACAGGTAGATGGTGGTCATCAGGTTACCGCAGTATGTGGCCGAGCCAGCGACCTTGACGCTGAGTGATGCCGCTTAGGATGCTCGGATGGCAGGTCTACCAGCTGAGCTTCTACTCCGAGACAAGCTTGAAAGATTTAAGTCCCTCGATGGTACTATGGGAGCATAATTTGAAACCATGAACGGGAAAGGCAATATATGTAATTTTTTATATTTTCTCTTCTTGCTCTCGTCAGTTACCTTCTTTTAGAGTTCACTAGCAGTAGAGCCCGGCGTTGCCCGGGGATGTAACAGTAAGAGATAGATCAAGTATCGACCATCATAAAGACTGAAAAATAAAATTGACAAAGATTATTGTTTAAGGTTGACGGACACACATGTCTTAATTAGTTTTTTTTTTTTACGAATTGGTCAAACCCAAACTCAAACAAAGACATTGTTTTCAATTGTTATGAGTCTACCGATTGAATAGAATTTTATTATAAACAATTGTCTTGTAAATGGAATTTTTAAAGCATTCTGAATGTAAAAATAAAGAAAAAAGTGTGCAAGACAATGAGAAAAACTACCTGCCAAAAAAAGGTGAAGTTTTGTTGAAATCAGTTAAAAAATGTAAGAAATATGATCCCATATATAAACGAACACACACACACACAAACAACCTGGGTTTTATAATAAGTATAACTCGATATGAGTTGTCCCCCTTTCATTCTCGCGATGCCTCTTAATCGTGTTTTCAAATTGATTTTGTGCAAAAACAATTGTGTTTTTTCCAATTTTTAGTGCTGTCAGAACCACCGCAAGGTAATTTTACGTAGTCCTGTGAAGTTTTGTTGAAATCGGTTGAAAAATGTAGGAAATCCAATCTAATATATAAACATACAGACAGACACACACACAATCTGCGTTTTGTAATAAGTAAGATTTAGCTTTCCTTTTGAATTTTTAATCGGCAATGTTGTCTATGTAGTGGATATTGTTGAAGCTCTATCCGACAATATTAAATACAGATAGGCCATGTAGACCAATTTAATCGTCTTTCTATACATGTTAATTTAATCGAAAGTAAAACACACATTTTCCGAAATATGTTTATGTTTTCTTTTCATTGTATTGACAAAGTCGTTCCTAGCGGGAAAAAAAATTACTCTTGTATATTAAATAATGCATAACTTCGAAATTGCTTGACGAATCGACAGACCTTTGAAGAGATTTGGAGGAGAAAATGGTGAAATTGTGTGATAATAAAAAAACTGTAAACATTCCGAATGGAACATTATTTACATTATTCGGACTATTGTCCTCATCTTTGTTGCCATATTTGTCACAACATTCCAACCACCAGAAGAAGGCCGGATCGTACAACGGCCGAAACGTTGTGATAAATATGGCGACACAGATGAGGACAATAGTCCGAATAATGTACATAATACATAATGTTTACCAATTTTGCACGAATAGACTGAACAATAACAGATGTTGTTTCGGTTTCACTTTCTATAATGTTGAATCCCTTTGTCTATATTTTAGAGTGGCTGTGGATATTTCTTATTCTTTGATTGGTTATTTATTTCATTATTTTTTGGTTTATTTCTTCCATGCGATTCATGGCGCCAATATTGTTAAGAAATATCAAAAAGGGTCAGCTGTGTACGCCCGCTTGTCCAGACCGAAGATTAAGTATGTCATGTACGTAATGAAGCTTGTAGGTCTTAGCCAGGTCGATTCATCTTTGAACCTCATCGACATGGCCTAAAAAATCACAATGGACCGTAAAAACTAAAGAAAGCCACATCAGTTGAGCACGCTCCACAGCGGTGAGAAATAAAATGTATAACATGAATCTAAGAGAAAATAATTACATCAGAAACTGACATTTCATACTACATTGAACAAGGAGTTAGGAAGGAAACCCCCATTAATTTTGAAAACAGCGATAAACAGCGTATGAGAAACTTATTTTCCGGGAATAGTCCATTAATAATATTCTATTTAATAATATAATATTCTATTTATAAATGTCAGTCTACACAATAAACCAATACGGAATATTTCCATATAAGGAAATCGCTAATATTACGTTTTTCTTAAGAGTTGAAGGGAACAGATAATACATTTTGATTCTCTTCCGATGGCTAAGGAATTAAACGAATGAAATAGTAAATTGACAAACAGTGGTTGCTCGATGAATAAATGCCGAATGATTCAGACTCCAGACCTCAAGTGAGAAATCATATATACGATACATCGCTAAAGATGGCGTTCCTTGTATGGTTTCAATGATTACAGGACTCCTCCTGGCCAGTTATAAATTTCCAGTCTTGACCTCAAATTTAAATAAGTCTACGGAAAATTGTATTAAAATTATTTTATAAATTACAAACGATTGTTGTTCAGGCTGCACAGTAAACGAATGCCGAATATTTCCATATAAGGAAATGGCCAATATTGCCATTGACATATGAATTAAGGTGAACAGATACTACATTTTGATCACATCCCGATAGCTAGGGAATGGAGAATAGAGTAACTTGAGTTGAACAGGCTGCTCGTTTAATGAATGCCGAACGTTCCAGAAACCTGGCCACAAGTGAGAATCAGATATAGGATCTGTCGCTAAAGCTGCTGGAAAAATATCACCTGATACTACCCATCCAGTCCTCACATTCCTGTCTCGATTTCAAGTTCTAAAGTCTCTACACGGCCTTGTGGGTAATGGATTATTTTACAACCTGCGGCTTATTTCCCACGCCGATTAAACCTTGCTAATCTATCACTATTTCCAGGAAAATCTTCTGACGTGCTATATTCCTGAGTTCCATCAGTTCAAACCTTCACATCTAAAGCCAGCCATGCAACATACAATTGGACAAACCATCCTAAGCATCTTCTTCCCAATTATCGTTGGTTTATAGAAGAGTCTCCCGAGGGGATGCTTTCACGACCAAGAAACCTTTAACTTCTCCAGCATTGGGTTAACCGTTATTTTTCTCAAAGATCATAAACATGTTATCTCTCTACTCTTACCGCTCATTTAACAAAGTCACTAGCTAACATGAGTGATCCTTGAGATTTTTATTATTAAAAAATTTAAAAAAAACTACCAATTTTACCATTTCCTTTTTCTTCTATTTTATGTATTTAATTACTATCTGCTGTTTTTCTTTTTGTCAGTCACATATGTGCTATGCATGAGACACGCTTAGGCGATCATGTATCTTTCGACGAGTCAGATTTTTCCCGCGATACGTTGCCATTTCTTTCTGTTGCCATTAGAACATTGTCCTTCTTTTTTCTCATAGCTGGTGGTGGGGGGAGAGGATCCATACACACAAGGTATTTGCACATAAGTGAATGCAATGGACTCGACTGGAATTCGAACTTGGTTCTCCGATTCCTTAGTCGGAGCCGCTATCCATTACTCCACCGGGCATTCTCTTCAAGCCCTCATTTCAATCCTGAAACTTGTGTATTGCATTAATGTTTAACTTGTAAACATAAACATTAATAGAATACATAAATAACGATAACACTTCTGCTGCCAGTTAAAGTTTAATGTACGTAAGTCCTTACTTTCTGTACAAATAATTTCTTTTTATTTCATCGCTGATTTTCGCTGGATTTCGCATTTAAGCTAAATCCTGTCGAGGGTTCTTGATTTGATACCAAAGAACTCAAAATTGATCGCTGCATTTACGTATTGCATTAATATTTAAGCTTACCTTTTAAAAGTTCAACGATGTTTCTTCTGCCGCCAATTAACTTAATGACAATTTAATATACGTAGATCTTTACTTTCCGTACAAATAATTATTTTTTATTTCATGGCTGACTTTCGCTGGATTTTTAAATTAATTTATTTGCCAAATTAATTTCCAAGTTATAAATATTGTTATCGTATAAAAAATTCGTCGCAAAAAAATCACCGAAAAAAATCGCAGTAATGAAAATTTGAGAATCGAAAATTCCAGGATTGAAAGGTCCAGATCCTTGCCAAAATGTTTTTAATTTGCTCACGGAGTCAGCCTGATTCCGAAATGGTATGATATTTTGGGCTATGGTTTCCAGAAGTAAAGTTGAAAACACGGACAATTTTATTTTGAAGCACTGTAAATTTTTTTTTTTTTATTTGAACATGAGATATTGCAGTTCAGGGAGTTATGTCCCTTTAATTGCTTTTATGTGACAGAGTGGCACACTGATATTCGCATTTAATATATCGATATACGTTATTCTTGAATTCTTTACACATTTTCTCTTTTTCCTTCTGATGGTTGACAAGTTCTTCGCTAATTCATTTGTTCGTATTTAAATGTTTTTTGTTTTTTTTTTAATTTTTCTCTCATCTACTTGTTTTCAAAATATCTTATGTTTAGTCATTCAGTAAGAAACTTGTTTTTAATCTAAATCTATATTTTTCGTTTCCATTCGTCCTTTCCTATGTATAAATTTTTCGGTTTTTCCTTTTTCGGCTTTTAAAAATATTTCTGATTTCTTCTCTCGTATACTTTTTTTTAACAAAATCCTACGTTCATTATTTTTTTTTATTGTTCTCTATTTGTCCTTCTTTAATTTTCTAATTTCCTCATTCACTCTATCATTTTTGCTTTCATTTATCTTTAGCTTTCTTTCTTTCTTCCTTTTTACTCCTACTTTTATTTTAAAACTTCTTTTTTCTATTTTCCTCGAACGTGTATATTTTTTGAGATATTGTTTTTTTTTTTTTTTCCTTTTTTTTCTTTCTATTTTCTTTAAATATCCATCTTTCATTCTTTCTTACATAATGTCGCCATTATATCATGTAACTTTTCGGTATCTTTTTTTCATTATTTTTCTTTCATTCGTTTCATCATTCTTTCTGTCTTTCTTTCACGGTTTTTCCTTTATCTCGTTTACCCTTTCAATGTCTATTACGACATCTTTTTCTTTTATTCTTTTCATCATTCTTAATTCACCTCCATTTCTTACTTCATTTTTTGGTTTTTTCTTTATTTCATTATTTATTATATGTTCTTTTCTATTCAGTATGGTATTCGGTTTTATTTGTCTTTCATTTTTTTTTCTTTATTTCCTCATTTTTACTTCCTTCCTTTCCTCTTTCTTTCAGCCTGTATTTCTTTCTTCCGCTTCCGCCTTCATTCTTTCTTTCATTCTTTTTACTTTATTTCTCTTTCCCTTTCTTTCTTTTTACTTTTACTTTTACTTTCTTTCTTTCTTTTTTCTTTCTTTTTTTCTTTCTTTTTTCTTTTTTCTTTCTTTTTTTCTTTCTTTTTTCTTTCTCTTTTTCTTTCTTTTTTTCGTTCTTCATTCATTCTTTTTTTCTTTCTTTCTTTCTTTTTTTCTTTCTCGTTGTTTTTAATTTCTGAACATTATTTTATTTAATCATTTACTTCGCAGTTTTCCTTCCTTCCAGTTCTTTCTATCGCGTTCTCGTTTTGTCTCCGCCTCTCCCTGCTATGTACCATTTTTCTTCTTCGATTTCCCGCCATTTCTTTATACCTTTCCATTGTCTTACATGTTTCTCCTTCCCTCTATATGTTCGTTCAGCTGTTATTATGAACGTCCTATGTGCCTTTTATTACATTCCCATTTTCATACAAACTGCTTTCATTCTCAAATCTGTTTCTTTTTCATTCTGCTATTCGCAAGTAATGCCATTACCGTCGTCTTTTATGGACTCCCAATTGATTGGAACACTTCTATGATCAAGTGTTTACCTCGAAGGCTAAAGGAAAAAAATGTCGTCTGCCATTCTAGCTACGAACTACCACCTTTATTTTTGTTACTAAATAGACCAGACGATATTGTTCTAAGTATTCAAAACCGGTTCTTTGTTAGGGTTTGCACGCTAAATTTCACCTCTTTCCTCTTTTCATCGTCGGCCTTCTTAACAAGAATTCCACCAATGGAAGATGCTTATATAACCTTATTATTTAATCAATCGTAGTTGGTCTTTAAATTTCTATGAAGGAAATACCACGGGAAATTTCATGAATACGCGAATTCACTAACATAAGAAATGCGGGAAGGTAGGACTAACTCTCAATTGTAAGAAGACAATGTATGGTTGTCGGCAAGAGGAACAGCCCATGACGCGATTTGAAATTGAAGATGCCAAAATGAAGCAATTACAGGAATTTAACTCTTTTAGAAGCGCTTACTAGAAGATGAAGAATGTAAATCCGAGTGTGCATTTCCAAATACCCTATCACGTGATCATTTTCTCCGTTTTTTTTTTACACTAAATAGTCCCTTTTGTTTAATTGGTTTTCTCACATTGCTTGGTGTGTATGTGTGTAAAGGATTAATATTGGATGCGGAATTTATTTTGGATGTTGCTTACATATCCAGCCTCCATTTTGTAGAGGATTAATCGCAGTTCAGAAAAGATGGTTAAATTCAAAAGATATTAATGCTATAAAAAACGGATATTTATATATACACACATACATAAATTGTATAAAATTATATACAAAAACAAATACGAAAAACATGACAAACATGGGAAAAAGAACAAAGATAATGAAATACATCTCCAAAAGAGATGAATAACAAGAAAAAGAAAATAACAAAAAATAAATAAATAAAAAAAAAAAAAAAAAATTGCTAACGTCTTTCGCGCCTCATTCTCCGGAACCACTTGTAGACGAACATATAAATTACGTACACAGCATTTGAAAAACAATAAACGGAAAATAGCCATGAAATCAACTGAGAAAAATAAAAAATATATATATATATAATCAAAAGTCAATTATATTAAGGCCCAGCAACCATTCCTTCTGCTTACAGAGGTGTGGCTGCTGAGCCTTAATATATAAACTCCCGGCTAAAGGAATAAAGTCACTAAGACGCAAGTGGGGTATCAGCCTGAAAAAATATAAGAAAAAGAAAGGGCATCAAAAGAACAGGAATTAATAAGACAGAAGATTACAATTGACAGAATATCTACATCTTTGAATATTAAAGTTGAAGACGTGAAATCAAGAAACCGTAAGAGTGTTCTACAAGTGAGAAGGGTGAGACAAGAGACTGTTAGCATAAAACTTACGGTTACATCTGGCAATATCAACTGTAGAAATATGAGATATTGCCGCCAATCTAGTACAGCAAAGGAATTCATAAAGTCTAGATATTAAGAGCATAACTACTCAGAACAATTATCATGAACATATTCATAACAGAATCTACATAGGATATATATTAAAGAGATTACAAGTAATCAATGGTTAGAAGATTGCTGACACATTTGGTCTGTTACTGATCTTACTTATTATAACACGCAGATTGTGCGTGTGTGTTTCCTACATTTTTCAACCGATTTCAACAAAACTTCACAGGGGTGCGTAAAATTACCTTGCGGTGGTTCCGACGGCACCAAAAATTGGAAAAACACAATTGTTTTTTTACGAAATCAATTTGAAAACACGATTCTGTCGCCAGAATGAAAGGGGGACAACTCATATCGAGTTATACCTGTTATAAAAACCAGGTTGTTTCTCTCTCTCTCTCTCTCTCTCTCTCGCTCTGTGTGTGTGTGTGTGTGTGTGTGTGTGTTCGTTTATATATGGGATCGGATTTCCTACATTTTTCAACCGATTTCAGCAAAACTGCACTTTTTTGGCAGGTTGTGTTTCTTATTGTCTTGCACACTTTTTTCTTTATTTTTACATTCAGAATGCTTTAAAAATTCCATTTACAAGACAATTGTTTATAATAAAATTCTATTCAATCGGTAGACTCATAACGATTGAAAACAATGTTTTTTTTGATTTTGGGTTTGACCAATTCGTAAAAAAAAAAAAAAAGAAGTAATTAAGACATGCGTGTCCGTCAACCTTAAACAATAATCTTTGTCAATTTTATTTTTCAGTCTTTATGATAGTCGATACTTGATCTAGCTCTTATTGTTACATCCCCGGGCAACGCCGGGCTCTACTGCTAGTGCTTTATATTTAGATACCCTTCATATAATCCAAAGAAGAATCCGAATATCATTGGTTCTGATCTGGTATCTCAGCTTCAGTGAGTTTCACACTGTCGTAATGTAACTTTATATATGCTTTGTATATGCTTTTTCTATAAAATACTTTCATGTTAATTTTATTGACGGATTGCCGTCTAGGTTACCTATAGATTGAATTTAAGCATTTTTGTGGGGTTTCTAAGCCTGGGATATAAGTGACATCACTCTAATATATTAGTCCTTAAATGCTTTTCTACATGTATACATCCCGTCATTATTTTTTTAAACCTTGTTCAAGATTTTGAAATTTTGAATCTGCCACAATGTGCAAAATGTATATCCTCAATGCATTGCTGTTACTTTTCCTTGCTTTTTCCATCTTAGCTTCGCTTGGTTGCTCTGTCCATCTGTTCATTCCATGATACAACTCGACGTAGCAGTACTATTACGATACCTCCTTAACCTGAATGATGTTGAATGATTTCTGTAACATATTTAATAGGCAAAATTCAAGAATAAACAGGAAACGTTTATCGATCTAACATGTTTCGATTTTATTGATAAAAGTGAAACAAGTCAGTTTGTTAAACATTTCTTATTTTTTCTTTGTCTTAATATTCTGTCGCATTCTTATATTTTAAACCACACACACACACACACACACACACACACACACACACACACACACACATATATATATATATATATATATATATAAATACCCAAAACTCCACCGAATTTTCAAATTAATTTCTTCGAAGATTGTTTTTAAAATTTTAGATATTTATCAAACCTTAACCTCCCAAATATGCACGTTAAAGTAACGCGAACTGACAGCGTCTAGGAATTTGAATGAAACCTGTCGTGTAATTTATTGGGGCTGTTGTAGCCCTTATCGCCCACCCCTTAACCACCTTTATCTAGAGACGAGACGCGTTAGATTTGAGCAACATCCAGCCGACACACTGGGGTTAAAATAGGAAACTAAAATGATACATATGACACACTCATATCCTCTCTCCCATCTCACTTCCTCACTTCGTTAACTTTGCGTATTCTTGATGAGGTCCGTTAAAAACGTGTGAATTTCTTTTCATTTTTCATTTCAGCTTTTGGAAGTAAAGTCTGATGATCCAGAACCCTGTTAAAGGGGTTATGGTGAAATAGCTTATTACATGGAATCTTAACGTGGTCTGTCTTTTATTTTATTATATATATATATATATATATATATATATATATATATATATATATATATATATATATATATAGAGAGAGAGAGAGAGAGAGAGAGACATATATACATATATAGATTCAACACCATCACTTGATAAGACAGCAGATGTGTTGAAAGAAAATGGTTATTTTTGTATTGATTTTATATGGTATTCATGTTATAATTTTCGATAAAATTATATTTGCCCTACTCTATATTGAGCACTGTTTTAAAAATAGTATCTTTGGTTATTGGAATTTCTTCCATATGCAAAAAAATTCTACACTTGTATATATATATATATATATATATATATATATATATATATATATATATATATATATATTTATTTTCATTATAAGAGACTATAATAAAAACATTTTACAACCCTGCTCAAAATCTTTCATGTTTCAATACTATGATTGTTATTATTCAGTCGATGGAAGGTAACTTATGATAAAAAATTATTTATTAGGAAATATAAAACAAATCGTTACAACTTTTCGAAATGTAAAGTGCAGCCATAACGTCAGAATTAAAAATATACTAATCTACGTAATGTACCTTGGTAATCGAGACATACCTACAGTACATATATATATATATATATATATATATATATATATATATATATATATATATATATATTATATTTATCCTTTATTTATGGGATAAAGTAAAGTGCTCAATATCAGAGATAGAGCGTATGTAAATATAAATATAAAAATTGAAGTCAACACTCAGAGGCGACAGGCTGTTTCATGCTAGAAGCAATCGTCAGGCCTAATGATTGGGTCTAGCATGAAACAGCTTGTTTCCTCAGTATATATATATATATATATATATATATATATATATATATATATATATATATATATATATATATATATTGTTGTATCTTTAGGCAGCAATCCTTCCTTTATGCATGTTTCATTAAAAACGACAGACAAGTTACTACGGTTGAGCTTTTTATTTAATTTTTCTTGTGTTCTGACAAGAGCTTTCTTTTCAGAAAAAAGGGTGTGTAAGAACTGTCCGAATGTTTACCCGACACTATTAGGAACATACTAGTAGAAAACACAAATATATTAACTGCATCCACTTGCAAAAAAAAAACTAAAAATAATAGAAGCTCTAATAATAAAAAAAAAAGCCAACTCTTAACAATATTAACTATGAACAAAGCCACAATGTGCTAACCGTATTCGGAAATTAAAAACATCACTACCACACACTGAACATACACAGAACGCACACACTCTACTAAGCTGATAATCGAATCATCCTTGATAATGGCTAAAAGTATAGCCGAAAGCGCTTGGAAATATAAAACATTCGGACAGTTCTTACACACCCTTTGTCCAGAAAAGAAAGCTCTTGTCAGAACACAAGAAAAATTAAATAAAAGCTCAACCGTAGTACTTTGTCTGTCGTTTTTAATGAAATATATATATATATATATATATATATATATATATATATATATATATATATATATATATACATTGAATGACGATGTTATT